AACTATTATACCATCTCTATAAGAATATTATTCCAAACTTCTAAAATTTAATTACAAATTAAATCATAACCTAGTTTTTATAAATTTCTATTTTTATTTAAAATATTTAATATTTAAACAAGTAGTATAAGATCATCCAATATAATAACCAAATCAAAATTTATTTGATAAAATTTTCTTTTATAAAATTTATTTTAATGCTTCATGCAAACCAGCTTACAAGTTGAATTAATCCTTCACAAGATGTGAAAATAATCATTATATATATAAATCTATGCTAAAAGTTTATTTATCATATATATTATAATTAGTTATATTAGATGATAAATAAACTTTTAATATAGATTTATATATAGTGCAAAAGTATATACTCAATAATATAAATTGTAACATTTAAAAATCTTACAACTCTTTAAAAATAAAATTTAGAAAAAATAAACTGGTAACTTTTATTCTTTGAGATAAAATAAGTTTTATATATAAGTAAAGTTCTGAATCAGGTTAGATTATTAGATCAAGCTAATTTAATCTAACTTGACAAAATTTAAATCAACTAATTGTTCTTAAACAATAGTTTTATTATTCTTAAATAATGTTTTTATCATTCTTGCATAATATTTTTATCATACTTGAATGATATTTTATTGTTTAATTAAAATAATTCATTATCATTCTTAAATAATAATTTTATCATTCAATTAGAATGATTCATTATCATTCTTGAATGATAGTTTTATTGTTCAATTAGAATAATTCATTATTATTCTTAAATAATAATTTTATTATTCAATTAAAATGATTTATTATCATTCTTCTTGAATAATAGCTAATTTTTCTTTTTAATCAATTTGAATAGATTAGATCTGATTAAGTTAAATAAAAATTAAAATTAGATCAGAAAAAATGATTAAAATCTTATTTTATTAGTCTACTAATAATTAAAAATTAGTATTAATGCAAGATTAATAAAAGATTTAACTTTAATTAATATTTTAGTAAATACTTTGAAGGGTTTACAAATAATATTATTTTATATAACAATATGTATTTAGAATGAATGATTAGAATTTATTAAGAAATAAAGAATTCAGTACAATTATATTTATTAGCATATAAAAATATATTAGTATTTATTTTATTGATAATAAAGAAGATAAAGACTAATTAAATTCTAATAGTTATTAAAAAATCTTAAAAGATTATCTACTAAGTTATCCTATTTATACTAAATTTACTAATATAAATAAATAAAATACTAATTAATTACAAATAATAAATAATTAGTAAAATAAAATGATTAATAATATAAAAGAAATTTCTGGTATTTTCTGAATTTTTTACATAATTTTCTCTTAATTCATTTCTATTATCTTCACTATCTTTATCATCTAACATAATACAGTTAATATGACTTTTGATCATATGCATCATATTATGTCAGCTGATCTTTTGAATTAATATCATTCTATTATAATATAAAATCTACAAAAAATTTTGAAACATTGTTAAATTAAGACTTTTAGCACTATATATAATTACAATTTTTATATTTTTTGAAGGTTTAATTAACTTATAAACTGACTTACAAGTAGCACTAATTTGTTTTATATCCTTTAAAATTATCTATTATTAAAAAATATCTTTTTATCTAATTTGATATATTTTTTCTATATTTCTTAAAATTAAATTTTATTAAATTTTTATTCATCTAATTATTTTTTTGCATTTTAATTATAAATTAAATATAAGATTTTTGAAATATTTTTTTTTTTTAGAATAACTATATGTATAAATTTTATTTTATTTGCAAGAATTATTAAAATACATAAAATTAATTTTTATCATTTTTAGTAATACAAATTTATACTATTTTTACATATTTTTAAACTTTTAAATTATTATTTATATCAAAAAAATTGGTATTTATCTATATTAGCAATTTGCAATAAACAAATATTGATATTTATGATACTACTTTCAAATAATTATATAATAATTTTAATTTATAAAAAATCTATAAATAAACTTGTCAAATTTTTATTTTTTTAGAGATAGTAAGATTATACTAATTATCAAGTATTTAATCAATTTTGAGATGTAAGAAATATCTTTTTATTATTTGAATATTATAAATATTTATTAATAAAAAATTTTATTTTTTGTATTTTTTTTTAAATTATAAATAACATAATAGCAATTTTAATCTATTTTAATATAAAATTTCAATTTATTTAATTAAATATCAAAAAATAATACTTATTTATTAATATCAAATATGATAATACTATATGAAGTCAATCTTAACTATATCACAAAGATTAACAAATAATTAATTAACGTTATTATTTTTAACTTATTTAATATTTTTATATTATTTATTTTTATCTTATAATTTATTATTATTATTTATTAAATTATTATTATTTTTATAGTTAAATTATATTTTATCTTTTATATTTATTTTAATATTATAAATTAGTTTATATAAAATAACATTAGATAGTGATCTTTTATTAATTGTAATTTTATATAAATATAATAGAAAATTGTCCTTATAAAAGAATAGAGATAACATTGATAACTCAATAGGTCAGGTTAAAGACTTAGAATTCAAGATTAAAGTTTGCTAAAAATACAATTTTTACAATAAAAGAATTTCTTTCTAAAACTACATATATAAAAAATCCTTCAATATGTTAATTATGTTTATTATTCTTATAAAATTTGTTAAAGTTATTTACTTGTCTAAATTATAAACTTAAAGATGATTGTGATAGGATTTATTCCATAATAACTTAGTAGTTTCTTATACATTATTTTTTATTCTTAAATCATCATTACTTTAAGTTTAACAAACTGAGTATAAGGTTAACAATGATAAGATTTAATTTATTTTTCATTATTTTGAAATTAATGAAAAAGAAGTTTTATATTTTTTTTTAATATTTCACAAAATTTTTAAATAATTTATATTTAAAAGTTTTTTCTTTTGTAATATATAAAAAAATACATTATATATGACATATTAAATTTTAATGTTTTTTATTTTTTGATCTTTTAATTAAACTAATTAATTTATTTTTTTTTTATAATTACACTTTAATTTTTTAACCTTTATAGTATATTTGAACTGTATTTGTTAATCTTCAATATTTTTTTAATAATATTTAATATTCTAAATAGTTTAATTCAGTTTAATTCAATTCAAATTATAAGTTAATTTGAATCTAAACTGAAATTTTAGTTTAGTTTAATTTAGATTATTATTTTTAAAATGCTAATATGAATTTGAACTGAATTGTAAATCAGTAAAAAATCTGAACTAAATTGAAAACTCAATTAATCTAAAAGTTTAATTTATTTAAAATAGTATTTATTGTTCTAATTGAATGATGCTTTTATTATTAATTTAAAATAATAATATCAATCATTTTAATTAAATGATTTTTTTTCATTCATTTAAAATAAACTATCTGAAATTTTTAGATTGATTTTTATGTAATTTAAAACTGAATCAAAGTTAATCTGAACTAAAATTTTTCAGATTAATCTGAATCATTAAAAGCTTTAATAATATCATATTTTATCATATGTTTATTGTTTTAAAAAAAAGGTACTTTATAATTTTAGAATTCGTTGCTTATTTATAATTAAATATGATATATAATTTAATTTTAATTTCAAATAATATTAAATATTTTAAATTAAGTTGATTTAATAAAAAAAAATCTTATAATATCTTAAAAAATAAAAATTTTAAATTAAATCTAATTTCTTAAATGGTAATGATTTTTTTAAATTTTAGTTTAAAAAACAGTCAGTTTAATTTTTAAAAATTATATTTCCTTTATTTTTTTTATAAAAATTTAATAATATATATGTTTTACAAAATTTTTAATCATAAAAAAAAATAAAATATTAAATACTGTAAATAGAAATACATTATCAAAAAAAAAGTTGGTAAATTTTTGATTTAAATCAACAAAAAAGGTAATAATTAAAAACTTTAATAAAAGTATTAATATTTGATAAATAATTTTTAATATTTCTAAAATTTAATTTTAAAAGTAAGGAAAACCATTAAAGAGATAACTATAAATTTTGCTTTTAAATAAATTCACTTAAAACATAAACGCAAACATTTTGTCCTAAAATATAAATATGTCCTTTTCAATGCAAAGTGATTATTTAAAAAAAAAATGAAGTGAAAAAATTTTTCGCTTAAATGCATGTTTATTGAGCCAATCAAATTATTCGAATATGTAAATTTGTAGATGATTACATCCTAAGGAAGAAAATCACGTTCAACAAATAAACATTTATGTTAAGTACGACATGTATGCTTCAAGATAATAAAATAATGCAAGGGAAAAAATATCCACATTTTTAGAAAAAAATTTTTTAATTTTATATTTAATAATTATGACAGAAATTTATTTTCACAATTTTTATAATAGATACCAGATAAAATGTTTATTTATTTAAAAAAAATTACTTTCTCCTTGTATATACTTTCCTAAAATTTTAATTGATTTATCATTTTTATGACAATAAGAAATACATATTTGGAGAGTATTTTATCAATCGCGAAGATTTTCCAGAATAAAATTTTGGCTTAAGAGGTGTTCTCTGTTATCTTTAGATCAAATTCTTTTTTTTTTTTTTTAACATAAATTCAATAAATTAACTTGTTCTATGAAACAATTGTTTTTCCAAAATTAAAAAAATTTTTCAACATTCTATATAAATAAAGATTGAACCTAAGCCCCATCATTTTTATAATCTTACAATATGTCACATCCGAATGACGTAATGCTAAATGTTTTATTATCTAATTATCAATAATGTAATAAAAAATAAGCAGTACATGATTGCGTATAATGATTAATTTTACTTATGCAAGTTAATATTTCGCCACACGTTTTCATACTTGCGGATTTATAAAAATCATAATTCAATTCTTAAAAAAGTATTGATCAAGGAGTAATTCTGAACAATAAATGCAAGAAGCTTGTGGAGATAGTTCGTATTATTATTTTTCTCACGTTTGAAGGTTTTTTGGATTATTTAAATATATTTATGTATCTTAATTATAATCAAATAAATATACAAATAGTTTATCTCACAATTTTTTGCCCATTATACATCTTATATACTAAACTCATTATAGGTTAGCTCAGAATGAGAATCTAGATTGCGTACAATACGACTTATGATTAATATTGTGTAATTTGCTGAGGGGTTTTTTTATTGTTCATTTTTTTAGTTGATTATTTGTTTGTCAAAAAAAAAATATTTTTCCCTCTATAATTTAGGAAAAAAAAAAATTTTTTTTTCTTTAGTCCCAGGCCTTTGTTTCATTTAAAAAAAAAAATTATAAAAAATGGTTAATTTGGACGAATTATTAGTCGAAAAAGATCCAGAAAGAAATTATACTTTATACGTCAGTGACAACAGCAGAAGCAGCATTTACAAATTCTCCCATCAATAAGTTTAACGTAGAGTGTTTAGAAAAAATCTTGAACTTTACAAATGAATCCATAACATTATATCAATGTATTTTAGCTAATAGGTTATGGTGTCACATTGCAATTCCTTTGAAGTAATCCATTTGAATATTTAAAAATATGATCATGGATGGTAACTTATTAGGACGTATTTAAACTGCCTTCCTGATAATGAGAAGCACATTGTAAATAAGTGGATTCTTCCCTCGGATTTACAAAAAATTTTATTCGATTATTCAGCTTTCCTAAAAATGTCTTGACTCTTTTGGATTTCAAAAGGCCATGACAAAATGGAAAAGGTATCATTGGAAGACAGTTTGGAAAAGACTTGGGCATTTTGATTTGGATAAGACGATTGGAGATATCTTGTTCAGAAAATGTAATGGATTAGATAGCCTTTATATTATCTTCTTTGCTTATATACAAAATATAGCGTATTTTGAAGAACCTTCAAATACTTTAACAAGACTACAAACTTGCAAAATCATTCATGATTTATAGGGAAGTACTATAATTACGTTGAAAATCGAGAACTAGTTACCTTGGTTGAAAATTTTAACGTGATAACAAAATATGCTCATAATATAAAATATTTAGAAAGAAGGTCAAAGTCAATATTTGAGATCACTCATCTTTATTTATCTCACACATTTTCACGAAAAGTTAGCGGAACTTTTAAATTCTTATCCAAATTTAAAAATCCTAAGATTCTTAGAACCTGACGTTCGTGATTATTCTAAAATCCCTCCTTTGAGATAGACCAATGATATTTCAATTCGTAGTGATACCTGATATACATATGGGCTGATTTGGCTCACTTCGGTAATGTCACTTGCAAGGAATGATCGACCATCGATCATTACTAGTTTTACTACATATCACATTTATTATTATTACAGTATTATTGTCAAT